TCTCGCCCGCGTACTCGAGCGGCTCGCGTGTGACCGAGGGCTCGCAGCCACGGGCGACGTGGTTGAGGGCGGTGCCCGCCTTGAGGGTGAAGCGTCCGAGGAGCTCGGCCGTCTGCCGCCCGAGCGCCGGCGTGAGCTTCTCGAGCACCCTCAGCTTGACCTCTTGCGCCCGCACCTTGTCCATGGCGATGCCGGCGCGCGCTGCCGCGTCGAAGCCCACGCCGACGCCGTTGACTCGGAGCGCGTCGCGCAACACCGTCGGCCACTTGCGCTTCCCCTCGTGCATCTGTGACGGGAAGAGCTTGATGAAGCGCGCCACGTCAAGCTCCGTGTCCTGCCACTTCCGTGACTGCAGGATCTTGAACTTGCGCGCGTTCGCGGAGAGGTTGAGCTCTCGCTCCGAGAGCTTGACGTAGGCGGTGCACCACTCCGCCGCCCGTTCGATGTCGGCGGCCTCGCGGACGACGGTCGGCGCGTGGGCGTCGTCGGCGATGCACTTCGGTACAACCTCCGGGTACCTCTCCTTGAGCGGCTTAAGGACGAGGAAGCAGACGGCGATGCAGAAGCTCAGCATGGAGAAGAGGCCGCCTTGCGTGAAGCCGAGGCGGACGGCGAAGCGGTCCAGGCTGCCGTCGACGACTGTCAGCACCTCGCCGTGGTGGGTCCGCAGGAAGGCGAGGTCGTCGAGCGCTGCCTCCGCCGCCCGGACCACCTCGTCTGCGTCCTTGATGGCGAGCCGCGCCCGCGTCGCGTCGTCGAGTTGCTTGACCCAATCTTTTTTCGAATGTAATTCAGATTCTTTTTCAACGCCGTCCCAGAGCAGGCCGGCGCGGGCGCAGGCGGCGCTGCCACAGACGGGGATGGGGATGCGGCGATGGACCGCGCGGACAGCGAGCATGGCGCCCGTGCCGCGGGCGCCGCCGAGGCGGCCGAGGTGCGGCCGGCGCCGCCTCCTGTGCGCCGGGGTGTGCGGCGCAGCGCGCTGGCGGACGCCCTCGAGGCGGAGGATGACGAGCAGCAGGAGGAGGCCGCGGTGTAAAATCTTTTTTGAAGCCAACTGAAATTCTTTTTCACGCCTTCAGCGCCCGCCGCGCCCCCCCCCCCCGGTTGGGGCTAAGCGTCCTGCCGGGGCCGCCGCGCAGCAGGATGCCCGAGTACAAGTTCCCTCCCGCGTTCGCGTGGGGCACGGGGTCCTCCGCCTACCAGACCGAGGGCGGTTGGCAGTCTGGAGGTCGCGGGCTCTCCATCTGGGACGCCTGGTCGCACACACCGGGTCGGGTCGCCGGCGGAGCCGTCGCGGACGCTGCGGCCGACCATTTCGGCCGGTGGCGCGATGACGTGCGGCTGTTGCACCGGATGGGCGTGCCGTACTACCGGCTCTCCCTCTCCTGGGCCCGCATCATGCCCGCCGGCGTCGGCGC